TAGAGGCAATAACATCTGTGAAGAAAGGGAACTTTACTTGTTTATTAGTGAGAAGCGTTCCCACAAGTGGGAATGTTGCCCCTTTGTCCTCCACCCCCGTCGGCCCCCCTCTCTCAGCCAGTAGCAAGCCTTCCTCCTCGTCCTCTAAAACCAAGCCTTGTTAATCGTGCACTAGGTCCTCCACAGAAGCCATCGTAAAAACAACAATTGACTTCCTTCGAATGTGCTGGGCAACCGCAACCCTGACTTCGTCCTAGAATTGTTGTCGATGAAAGGACTACTGCTTCGCTAGAACTCCACCTCTATCTCGCTGTCTTTCTCTACGTCTTCCTTGAAAGCCCAGAACATCGGGAATTCCTACGATCAGAAACTGCCGCACGTATGAGAAGGCAAAATTTAATTACCCTCTCAATTCTTAGATTAATACTACGTACTATATCATACGTAGGATTGCCTATATTGTACACCCGGATGTATGTACATCCGGCCCAATTAAGGAAGGCAGCCCAATAATCAGTACATGTCATTTTTTTCGGTGGCAATTTTGTAATTTAAGCGAAAAATCACGGCTTACGCTAAATGAGCAATATTGTACTTTTGGTGATCGTCTGACCTATTTTATTAAGTATTAAGAGGCTAACAATGAGTATAATGATTTCTGCTTCATATCTTCTATTGTTTTTCTTTTTCTATTATTTTCTTTTATAAAAACTTTTTAAATTATATCTATTATCCACTCCTATTAATTTAAATACGCGATTCGAATGTAATATGATACTTTTGAAATATGCATTGATATGACATTTAATTAAAAATGAGCATAACATCAGTACCAAATGAGCATTCACAACTTACAAAGTGCACAATGATATGAAAATTATAAGGTTTGTTAGTTGAACATCACAACATTTTAACTGAGCATCAAACCTCTTTTATTGAGATGATAATCATGGTTTCTGGTGAATGAGCATTAATGAACTTTTAACGAACATCAGAACAATTATGTTGAGTATTAGGAGTCTAATATTAGGAATCGCGATCTCTGTTTCATAACTTCTAATTCACTTTCTTTTTGTTATTTTTTCTTTTATAAAAAATTATTAAATTATATCTATAATCAACTCTTATGAATTTCAATATGTGAATCTAATGTAATATGATACTTTTCAAATATGCATTTATATGACATTTTAAAATGATCATACATCAATATCAAATGAACATATTTAACTTACAAAATGAGCATTAATATGAAAATTGTAAGCTTTGTTAGTTGATCATCAAAACATTTTCTTTGAGTATCAAACTTTGGTTATTGTGTATTTGAATCATATATATGGTAGTTATGAAATATGCATTGATATGAAATTTTAAAATGAATATAGCATCAACATACCAAACTTACAAAATTAGCATTGATATGAAAATCAGAAACTTTGTTAGATGAGCATCAACACATTTTCATTGAGTATCAAATTTCCTCTATATTGAGTACTAGAATCATTGTATATGGTACTTTTGAGATATGCATTAATGTGACGTTTTAAAATGAGCAGAACACCAGTATCAATTGAGCATACATAACTACAAAATGAGTATCGAAAATCTATAGTATGCTCGAATTTTTATTATGTACATCATTTGAATTCTCTAATTTGTTCAAATTTTCATTTGTGTATGCTCATTTGATTTTTCTAATGCGCTCATATATTCATTTATGAATATTCAATTCGCTTAACCATTATGCACATTCATTATAAACACTATACTCATTTTGAACATAGCATAAAATTGATATTAGTAATTCATAAGTTGAAAATTTTAACACACAATATAAAATATAATATTAAAATATCATAGATATATTGATGAAAAGCAACAGAAATAATGGTTAGTGAGATTGTGGGAACGGTGAAAGGAAAACGTAGATCAAGAAAAGAAAACGTTGGTGAATAAGCTTCTCGTTGGTGAATAAGCTTCTCGTTGGTAAATTATAATGATAACAATATATCCATCTCTAGGCTGCATTGCCACAAGGGATTGTACCATTTGTGTTTGCTAAAGAGTACAATGTCCATCCTGCCATTCTAAGCACCGCGTAAGTATATTGTCAACACATCGTTTATTTATTTTTGCAGAAGCAATTTCTTTTACTTTCTTTTCATTTGTACATAGTCTACTTATGAACTATGGGAACTCCATTGAAAGAGTATACTTTCCATTCCAAAAAAAAATGATGTTTTCAATTAAAAGTTTTCACGGTCATTTCAAACAAATATTTTTCAATTAAAAATGATGTTTCTGATTGCATGTTCTGCGGTTCTGCCGACTTCCCACATTTCCGTACAACATAGTAGTCTAAGGAAATTAAAGTGAAAATTAATTTGATCTTATTTTATTTACAGGGTTATTTTTGGAATGATGATCGCGTTACCCATCACACTGGTGTACTACATTGTTTTAGGATTATTATAGACAGTATATTAGAAGTAGTTATTATTTGAGTAAAGGGTCAGTTTAGTCCTCGAAGTTGCAAAAAGGCGTCAAATAAGTCCTTATATAGAAGATTCTGTCCGGACGTGCCATTTGAGGTGGCTCCCGGTGGAATTTTGTGATGAATTTTTTTGAGCATCTTATTCATTAAGTCTAGTTTACTCATATTAAATTTCAGCTAAAAATTCAATCGGGAAGACATTCAAATGAATTCTTGAAGATAACACCGCTTTTAACGGCACAGTTATCTTCAAGAATTCATTTGAATGTCTTCCCGATTGAATTTTTATCTGAAATTTGGTATGAGTAAACTAGACTTAATGAATAAGATGCTCAAAAAATTTCATCAAAATATTCCACCGGGAGCCACCTCAAATGACACGTCTGGACAGAATTTTCTATATAAGGACTTATTTGACCCCTTTTTTGCAACTTCGAGGACCAAACTGACCCTTATCCCGTTATTATTTCAACCCCATCTACCCGATTGGTGGTTTTAAGTTGCTTGCATAAGAGAAAGCTTTGTTGACGTCACGGCGAGCAGCTTCGTGGCAAACATACTAATTGCAGATTTGTAAGAGAGAAAGCGGAAGATCAGAGAAAGAAAGCTAGAAATGCATGTCCTACATTGTAATTTTGTGCTTATTATTAGTGATGATCTAACTTTACTTTAATTTCTTGAACGTCTAATATATCTTTCCTCAATAAGGAATTCCCATTTGGAATATACTAATTTTCGACGGAATATTTCATGGTAGGAACAACATTTCCAATGTGGTTTTGCCGAAAATGATACATTTCTATTGGAAAGACTATAATTTGTATAAACTTATTTGGTGTGGGACATCAATTTGCATGTAAAATGCACAGGATTAAGAACGAGCATACACATAATTATTAGACTAAATCGCTAAATCTTATAATTAAGAATTATAGAGTGTGCATAACGTATACTATAAAGTATTACATTTGTCCCACTAACATTGGGGTATGAGGGGGTGATGCGGTTATTAAGAAAATTAGTTTTTATATGATTGATATTGAATTGATAAATTAAGAATAAGTAATAATGATTTAGATTCACATGAAATTTATCAAATTTGATACTCCCTCCGTATTTTTTGTTTGGTACAATAGGTGTTGGCACATTGTTTAAGAGTGAAATAGTAGAGGTAATGAATAGTGTAGAAAAAGGAAGAGAGATGGTGAAAAGGTATGAAAGAAAAGATAAAAAGTAGAAAAAGTAAGGGTAATTGAGTAATTTTAAAGGAAAACTTACCAAAAAGGGAAAATGTAGCAAATTTTTGAATACATTTAAAAAAGGAAAGTGTAGCAAACATTAAAATACTGAGGGAGTATGAAACAATTTTAGTAGAACGGACCGAAAAGGAAATATGAGACAATCTTATCATGATAGAGGAAGTATATTTTTGGGCTGGTGGTGTGGCTCATTTGCTTGGCCAACCACCCCCATTTCTCCTTGTGTTGGAGGTCTTGTTCCCCATGAATTTCCTACCTTTACGGAGCAATAGTTGAGTAGTTGAGAAGGGAGAAGATGAAAATATCTGGATTACGGTGATTGATGAGACAACGGGTGTTAAATCAAAGTTGGAAGTATAACGACAAACATTTGAAATCAAGAGTTTCAAGCTTAGTCAAAGTAAGACTAAGTGTTTAAGTATGAAGTGCAAACTTTGTAGAGGTAGAAGTCGTGGTAACAGAAGGATTGCCCTAGAGGCCTAGATGATAAAGAGATACCGATCAAAGATAAATTTTGTTACTTGGGCTCCATAAATCAGAAGAACAGTGAATTAGATGAAAATTTATCTTATATAATCAAAACATGGTAGATGAAATAGAAGAGTGAGTCAAGAGTTCTATTTGATCAAGTATGCCAACTAATTTGAAAGGTAAATTTTTTTGGATATCAATTAAGCCTGCATTACTATAGCGAAAGTAACACCTATTGAAGATTTTAAGATGCGGAAGTTTTGACTGTAGCAAGTTTGTTCACGTGCATAGATGAGTTAGACGAGTTTAAAGATGTGGAGAAGAGGCATGAGTGGGGGAATACCAAACAAACATGAATTAGATGAGTCAAGGACTCGGGGTGATATACCTCTTTTGGATTGTAAAAGAATATGACTTTAGAGAGAGCAAAGTGTAAGGCAAGTATTCATATGGCGAATTGATCTTTTATTTGTTTTTATTATATACATACATTGTATGTATTTTTTGTATTATTTTTATCTTATCATTTTGAATTCTTTCTTTTCCTTTTAACTCTGATATTATATATTGATTCATGTTACTGATCTCACAATCTGTTGAGACTAAAACTTGGATGATGTTAGTTTTTGAAATACTATTTTGTTATAATCTTACCCCAAAAGTGTTGGGCGATAAACTTTCATGACTTTGTTCATGCATTGGTGTAGAGTTTGACACAAATATTTGTTATAATGGTCATTCCGACCATGCAAATGATAAAAGCTAAATAACATAAATGCGCAGCACCGCCCCCAGTAGAGAGCAATTAGAGTATAGATATTGACATTAATTAGTCATACAAAGCATAATACTCCGTAATATTGTTTCCAGAATCAAGTACAACACAATATGACAATAGTAATGACAATAGTATCTTATGTTTTAAATCATACAATTACCAAGAATTAGTACAACGTTAAAACACTCCATCCATAATGAAGATTCAAGCATACAAAGCAGTTAGCTTCTTTGTGGATCTACCAATCCCATTGTCATATTGCTTGCAAGCCAGCTCCTTCGGCGATCTACTAATCTCATTTTCATATTGCTTGCAAGCTGTATCCTGGGATAAAGGCCATATACACATATATGTATATATACCGCAGATGCAGAAGCAAATTTACCAACAATATGACTTGTTTTTCCGGTCTCCAAATCACTCTCAGTGAAGGAAGCAAAAGTGCAATGTCTCTCGATCTTTCAGTATGGATGGGGTCAATAAAAAAACTCAAATATATTGCTTCTTTCCATATTTCCAACTTTTTTCATAAATTTTCTTTGCAAGGGTCATATATGTGTGTGGATGTGAGCACATTAGCGCATACACATGTAGAGAAATGCTCAGGTCCATCCGGAGGGACGGGAGGCACTGTCCGAACTTTACTGTTTGGGGTGGTTCCCGGTGGAATTTTTTGATGAAATTTTTTGAGCATGTTCCTCGTCAAGTCTAGTTTATCCATACCAAATTTCAGCTCAAAATTCGATCGGGAAGGCATTCAGATAAATTTTTGAAACATACTGCACATTCTGTGCACATATAATGTGCAGTATGTTTCAAGAATTTATTTAGTATATGTATATGTGGGGCATGTGTATATGTATGTATGGACATGTGTGTATGTATACGTAGTACGTGTATACAGAAATGGAGCCAGAGGACTGAAGGGGGCAGTGGCTACCCGAACTTTTTCAAAACAACAAAATAGGCATGCACACATATATATAGAGATGATCAAGTAAAGTCTTGCAGACTTCATCCTTGTTACTTGTTAGGCCTATTTCATTTTATGTCCAAAATGGCTTCAATTATCTCAACTCATTCACTTTTCAAATCAAGTATTAGTTTTCACAGTTAGATCATGTTAAAAAAACTTTGTCAAAGGAAATTCATTTTTAATAATGAACTGATCTTAACCGTTGGATTAGTGGAGAAAATGAGAAAAAGAGTTTGGGGCGTTCTTTTTTACGAATTTAAATTGAAAGTTTAAATTTGATACTGCATCCGTTTTCCACAGATAATTAAAGTAGAAGGGGGTAATAATTGAAGTAGAAAAAGGTGTGAAAGAGGGAAGGGGGAAAGTTAAAAACTAGGAAAGAGGAGGAAAAAGGTAGAAAAGAGAAGAAAACGTGGTAAAAGTAGGGAACAAATCCCAAATATGGAAATTTATAGAAAGTGTGCAACAATAATAAAAAACTTCCCAAAAAGGAATAAATGACAAGTAAAAAAGGACCGAGGGAGTAGGTAATATTATTATACTAATGAGAAAAATAAACTAAACCATTAAAATGATCAAATGGCTAAAAATGAAATAGGCCTGATGAAATTCATGCCAGGATGACCTGACATGATAATTCACATATATGCATGGGTATGTGTAGGTATATATAAGTGCATAAGTGTAAGTGTAAGTGTAAGTAAATGTTTATGTGTACGTGCATTTATTAGTTTCAAGTGTAAAGACCAAGTTATATGCAGAAAAAAATCATCCTTTACTGCATTGATGTTGGATTTTATGATACCAAATAAGAGTAAAGTGATTAATTAAATGCTAATTAATATCTTCTAGCCATTCATTGCATTAAAATGAATGGCTTAGATGCGTTCTCATTTTTCGTTAGATGTTAATGAAAATATATACGGAGTATAGGGTTTGGTCCAAGTGAAAACACTTCACATCTTAGTACATGTTTTGTGTGTGTATAGAGTACAGTGTATATATATAATATGTGTTACTCTGAATTATATAAATATATAATGGATAAGGAGACACTTACCTCGCTATCCTCCCATATGGCACCAACAGACTTGGAAAAGCTAATGCTGGAACTGTTATTGCTAGATATACAGTGGCCATTATGAGAAGAACGACTCGTTGTGTCTGAAGCATCAGCAGCATCAAATTTCCTAATCTCCCGAGACACAGTTGGGCTGTGGAGACATTTGTGAGCAACTGCTTCTACAACATGCCGCTCAAATTCGCCATCATGATCAGTATCTTCGTCTATGGAAACATTGACCCGCTCCCTGGATGTTAATTACAAAATATGACACTTCAAGAAAATATAGGAATGGTCATTCTATAGAGTTCAACTGATCATCGCATGAAGTGAGATATTTCTGACCTAGGTAAGGATGCATATCGCCTAGGAGCATTTCTGACACTTTTCCCATGGTGTCCCTCAAGAATGTCAAACTGTTGCTTAAAACAATCAACTCCGCTATAATACCAAAGAAAAATCAATGAGTGTGGGATGTTTATTCAAGCACACAACATCAATAAGTAAGCATTCACATGAAATACAAATGGATGGCTAAAAACAATTGCATAACTAAAGGAGCATATCCAATCCAGAAATATAATAACATGCTTAATAATACACTGTTAAAGTCAAATATATAAGCATGTGCAATCAATTTCCGGGATACGGTGAACTAATGAAGAGAAGCCAATAGTTTAAGGTATCTACAAACAGTAAAGCAAAACTAAAATCGGGGGATGCAATAGTAGCAAGAAAAACAACCCCTTGGCATAACGATGCACAGATGTTAATGCATATAATGAAGAAAACCTTTTTCCCAATAAATAAAATGTCATCTCATATAAACCAAAAAAATTGTCATAAACAAATCAGATAGAATCAAATATCAAGACAATTGATTCAGATTTGGTTGTAGCAGGTATTTGTTTTCATTTAGTATTTAAATCTAAGAAGCAATTTGTAATAGATTTAAGTATTTAACTATCTGGCTAGTGTTCATGTAATGTAGGCCTAAAAGTTGTAATTCTTAGGCCTCTTTCATTTGAGGTGCTTCAGGGTCAAATTTTTTGATGAATGTTTTTGAGCATGTTCTACTTGAAGTGTAGGTTATGTCCACCAAATTTCATATTAAAATTCAATCGGGAAGTTAGTTAAATAATTTATTGTAAAAAACAGCATTTTTGGGCCTAAAAAATTGTGCAATTTTCAAAATTTTAATTAGCTAACTTCCCGATTGAATTTTAATCTAAAATTTGGTGGACATAATCTATATTTCATGGAGAACATGCTCACCAAATTTCATCAAAAAATTCAACCCGGAAGTAGCTCAAATGAAAGAGGCCTAAAATTGCAACTTTTGGGCCTACCTTACATGAACATTTTCCTTAACTATCTTAGTTTAATATAATTTATTCGATTTGATTATTAGTATTAAAAATAAATGAGGTTTTAATAATAAAAATCAGGTTTATTTGTCCATATTTGGCTTTTTGAAACACAAATAAGCTTCAAAATACATAAAAATAGAAATGTATAAGTTTTTATACCAATATTAATATCTGTTTAATTATTTATATTCATAAATCCTAAAATTTGTTTCCATCATTTGCAATGGAGCCAAAGATTCATTATTTTTTGGCTTGAGAATATGATGGAATAAAGCAATATGGCTCACTAAACTGTCTGCGCTTCTTTGTTATGAAGTAGCAGTCAGCCCATGCAATTTTGGACACGATTTTCACTATGGGTCATCCGGAAACAGTCTCCCTGTGCTTCAGTACAGAGGTAAGACCGCGTACATCCGACCCCCCCTTACCCCACCGTAGGTGGGAGCCTTTGCGGCACTGGGGTAAATGAAAATGAAATGAATGATATATCCTAAAATGTGAATTGAATATACCAATATTCGAATGTAATTCGAATAAAAAAAATATACTCATATTTGGATTTGAGTTCAAAATTTGAATCGCCATATTTGAATTGGGAGAATAACTTTAAATAATATCAACTATCTTCCATGAAACTAGAATAATACATACTTTACAAATAACTTTTAATAATACTAACTGTCTGAATCTAAAACAAATAATATGGAGTTACTTTTCTATAAGAAATTCGGTCATTTAAGGCAATAAAAACTAATATTGAACCATCAAATAAGTGATATTTGTAAAGACGATCACTTATTTAATATTTTGATATTAGATTTTTATGAGTTAACTAACTGAATTTTTAGTGAAAATTTACTTTATATCACTTTTGATATATATTCAAGTAGTTTGTATTATAAAAACTTAATTCTAAAGTGCATATTATTCTTGGTTCATTGAGATAGTTTGTATTATTTAAAGTAATTTTTCCATTTGAATTTGAATCACAAACTGAATCAAAGTTAATTGAATTCATTTATGAACCTAACAAAATAATATGCCATCCAAACTCCACGAAAGCATTACACATAAGTAATTTTGATGATTAGTGAGGTAGGGTGGGGAACATAGACTTTCACATTGGTCACACGTGTTTCCATATAGCTGGAAGAGAGAACTGTCAATCTGGACCAGTTGCGAGCATACCTGGTATGGTTCTACAACTGTACAGGGTACATTATAGATCTGCATTCTGACTTTAGAAGCTCAAGCTTACATTCAAAATCTTGAAGTATCACGACTACATTTTGGCACTTTTGGTCACTAAATATTTTCCTCTAAAACCAATCAACCCCTAATGAAACTAATGTGGTCCACTTTCCCACACATTGTCCAATTTGGTACACCAGCCCCAAGGCCTCCAACCATTTAATAGCACACTGCATAATACTGATAATACAAACAACTTGGCAAAAAAAACATGCCATATCAATCACATCAACATGATTGGCTGTAGCACAACATACATCCCATTCTTTTCCTCTCAAAACTTTCTTTGTCAATCTCTCTATATCATACTCCAAAAAACCTACTCTGCAGTCTGCACCATCCCTATTTCTCTAGAAAAATGCTTGGTGTACACATTTTGTGTACACAAAATGTGTACACATGTCTGTCCTTTGCAGAAAATTTGTCTGTAGACATCTGTTTTTGAGTTATCTGTGACAGACAAATTTTTTGTGAAGGACAGACATTTGTACACATTTTGTGTACACAAAATGTGTACACCTAGCAAAACTCATTTCTCCAAGTAGTCTATCCCACTCACCAATGAACAATGTCCATCACAACAATATAGAGAAGATGCTCTCTTGTCTCTAGAGAAACATGATTCTACCACGGTTAGAAGCTTCCAAGAAGGAGATCAGATAAAAGGGCGATTAATAAGTTGATTTGAGATTTTGAAATCACAGAGGAGAAAGGAAACAGCAATGAAGTCAATTGCAGCAACCCATGAGCTCGGGAAAAGCAGATATTGTGCTCGGCAAGGGAAGTGTGTGATGTTGAAGAAGTGGAACCAATGGGAATGTTGTTTCGGACTAGGGTTGTAAAAGAACCATCATATTCAAAACATTTGACAAATAAACTACACTTCTAGGTTTAGTGGGTGTTGCAAAACCATTTAAGCCACATTGAATAGTGGTTTTCACCTGTGTTTAAAGAACCAGACCGGGCGGGTCGGCCTGGAACCTGGCGAACCGGCAATCAATCCGGTCCGGTTGTACTCTAAACCGTCAATTGAGTCAAAATTGGAAATAACCGGTGAACCGATTTAAACCCGCACCCGGCCCGGCATGCTCAAACCCAGAAAGCCGTTACAAACCGGCCAGCATGAAGAAAAACTGAAGTGCAGAGAGTGCCGCCCACAAGAATCAAACCTGTAACCTAATACAATGCATAGCAGCCATGCTACCAATTGATCTACAACAGCTCGTTGTATTATAAAGCTTCTCAGAAATTATTATTGTGTAACTATCACTACACCCAAAAGCTACTTTTATTACTTAATGATATTAAAATGAAAACTAATTATATGCACTATCGTTATTATGTATGAAGTACTATTGGAGTATTGGAATATGTATTATATATTCCAGGTATAAGTAAAAAACATATCTATACAATACTTTTATAACTTTCTAGTTGATGGTATGTTCATTTTTTGTTCCTCTAATTTGAAATTCAGTATATGGTTTAGTAAAAAAAATCAATATGTACCGTAGGGAATAATAGTTTATTTATTAGGAAGGAAAATATTTTTTACTTTACAAATTTAACTATATGTTTTACGGAGTATATAATATATACATGTATATAGCGTTGACCGGGTTATTTGGTCTTGACCGGGTTGACCCTTGACCCGGTAATTTGTCCGGGTCACCTCCCGGTTCGGTTTTTACAACATAGGTTTTCACAATTTCAATGCAAACCTAGAAGAAACACCTTCCTTGGACTAGCATTCAGTTTAAGCTCAATTAATTTACATACACAGCTTTCGATGCTTACTGCATACGACTCCAAAGGAAATAATTAAATGTGATGATCTTGGAAGCGTCACTGAGCTGATTAGTAAAGAGTATCTGAGTATGGAACAAAATTGTATGAGTTTAGAGTTTTGGCTAGGATTTTGTTGAGATCCTGAACTTCATAGGGTTGGGTTTATCAGATATCCAAAAACTTCTTGTTAATTTGGTAAATTTATGATTGTGTGCCTCAACAATGGAGCCCTTCTACAGATGGATAAGGCATCATATAATAAGGAAACGAATTAACTAATACTAATTCCTTCCCAAATTAAATTTCTCATTTTATATTGCCTCGCGAATTAAAAAATAAAACTGCGTAGATGAAATCTAATTAGAAACACAAGAAAAAATCATATCACACAATTAGTATTTTCATAAAAGAAATGAGAACCTTATTTAGGAACGTCCTACTAAGGAATGTGAGAACCTTAAACTGGGACGGAGTGAGTACAAACTAATAAGGGATCCCACTCAAAGGAATCATGTCTAATCTAAGTAACATTCAAACTCATGACTTACTTAGCATGTATCAATTATATCATCCAAATGAAATACTGATCTATTGAAGTACCAAAAAATACTTTGAAGACCAGCAACAGGTCCAACATGCCCTATCAAATTAAAACCTTGTTGTGGAATGTATATTTTAGCTTAAAGTACTAAATGTAAATGTTAGTAGCGAATGTGGTTAAAATGGTTAAATGTGTTGAGTTATTATAAAGAGAATGCAAAGTGCACTCCCTCTGTATCATATTTTAGGTATCAATTTCTTTTGTGCACAGATATTAAGAAAACAAAATACTCTCTGTGCCCCAAATAATTTGACATTTTAGAAAAAAGATATTGTCCCAAAACAATTACTCCCTACAACAACAACAACATCCAAGCCTTAGTCCCAAAAGATATTGGGGTCGGCTAACATGAATCGATACATGATATCACCATCAAAAGGAAAAGAAAGAAAATAAAGATAAAAAAGATAAGCTATTATAAAAAAGATAATATAAAAAGAGATGAATATACCTAAAAATGATAAAATAAAAGGATAAAAATAATGTTTATATATATAAGGATAAAAGGATAAAAACAAGAAGAAGAAGAAGAAGAAGAAGAAGGAAAAAAAAATGAGGGGAAAAGATAATACGGGATCACTCCTCCACACGAATACCCGTCCTCCACTTTGCTCTCTCCAAAGTCATACCCTCATCCAACCCCAGAAGAAGCATATCACGTCGAACTCCCCTAACCCACGTCTGTTTGGGCCTTCCTCTCCCTCTCTTCTCTGTCTCTTCTCCACACATCTCAACTCGTCTGACAGGTGCATCACTCGGTCTTCTACGGACCAAACCATCGTAGGCGCAACTCCCGCATCTTGTCTTCAATAGGTGCTACTCCCACCCTTTGTCTGATTGTCTCATTCCTCGCGTGGTCCTTCCTAGTATGCCCACACATCCACCGCAGCATGCGCATCTCTGTCACACTCATCTTTTGAATGTGAAATGGTTTCACCGCCCAACACTCTACGCCATACAGTAATGTCGGCCTAATTGTTATCCTATAAAATTTACCCTTCAGTCTAGTCGGCATATCTCTATCGCATAGAAATCCTGACGCACTCTTCCACTTCATCCACCCTGCTCTAATTCTATGAGATACATCTCCATCTAACTCACCGTCCTTCTGAATTATGGAGCCCAAGTAACGGAACATATCGCTAAACGGTATCTCCTTACCATCTAGAGTAATTTCGTTATTACCGCTGCTTCTACCTCCACTAAACTTGCACTTCATGTACTCTGCCTTGCTCCGACTTAGTCTGAAACTCTTGTTCTCCAATGTTTGCCGTCATACTTCCAACTTTGCTTTAAGACCTGATTGCGTCTCATCAATCAATAGAATATCATCGGCAAACATCATGCACCACGGTATTTCATCTTGAATCGACTTCGTAAGTTCATTCATGACTATGGCAAATAAGAAAAGGCTCAAAGTCGATCCTTGGTGCACTCCAATAGTAATAGGGAACTTCGCAGTCCTCCCTACACTAGTACGGACACTTATAGTACAATCTTCATACATATCCATGATGATGCTGATATACTTGCGTGATATGTCTTTTCTAGTTAAGGCCCACCAAAACATTTACTCCCTCCATCCCGAAATTATTGTCTTGCTTTCTTTTTTAGGATGTCCCAAAAAATTTGTCTTGTTTCCTTTTTTGGCAATAATATGTGGCTCATATCAATTCATTTTTTTCTACTCAAATCTCAACCACAAATTTTACCTTTTCAACCACTTTCTTAAAACTTATGTTTTACAAACAAGACAATTATTTCGGGACGAAGGGCGTATCATTTTATGGATTCAAGGCATATTTTTTTACTGATCTTCCAAATTTGCCAATATTAACTCTCCATACATGCGAGAAAATGCTACTCCCTCAGTCCCATAATGTAAGAAAGTAAGATACACTTAGGTTTGGCGTGGGTTTTGAGAAAATATATGATAAAATTGGTTTTACAATTCTAACCTCCAAAAAAGTAAGAAAACGTAGGATGGTCCACAAAAGTGAAAAAATGAAATGATATATGAAGGGATAAAGTGGGAAATTAAAAAGTCAGTGGAGTTTAATGTAGGAAAAAGTTCATATTTTTGGAACAACTCAAAAATGAAAGTGTATCTTAAAAATAGAACAGAAGATAGTATTATATCTTCAACAGAAATATAAAGAACTTAATCATTTTCATTTTCATTTACCCCAGTGCCGCAAGGCTCCCACCTACGGTGGGGTAAGGGGGGTCGGATGTACGCAGTCTTATCCCTGTACTAAAGCAGGGAGAGACTGTTTCCGGATGACCCATAGTGAAAATCGCGTCCAAAATTGCATCGACTGAATGCTGCTTCATAACAAAGAAGCGCAGACACTTTAATGAGCCATTTTGCTTTACTCCATTATATTCTCAAGCCAAAAAATAATGAATCTTTGGCTCCATTGCAAATGATGGAAATTATAAAGAACTTAATATTGAGCTTAAATATGTAAAGAGAGGTCATTTTGGTGGATTCCTTAGTACTTTTGTGTGTGATGATCTCTAGTTTTGACTGTTGATGTTAGATTGTATGTACATTACAATCACTACCTACATGTTTGCTTACACTCTTCAACCTTCAATGAGACCCATTATTAGATAGATAATAGATTGATATGTAAGCAGGTCAGATGGTTGAGTCATTTTTTAGTCTATGTGAAGAGAGGTGCAATATTCATTAATCTAGGGTGTGCTATAATAACTGAGTGAGAACACTTGTTTTGTTTTAGGTGTGCTTGGCCTAGTCATTTGATGGTTCATGTGAGCACATTTGTCTGTTTGAATATGTAACGCAAAGCCATATGTTAGAACCTCTGGACATATGAAATATCCTCAAGTAAATGCTTTTGTATCTTAAAATAAACAAACCATAAAGCAAGTAATATAGAACTTGAAGTTCAATTAATAAGGTCATTTCGTTAGATTCCTTGATATGTTTTTACTTCTCAGAAAGGTTATTTTGGGATGAGGTGAATATGTTATTAATCATTCAAATTCACCCTTCCTTGATTGTACAAATCATAAAAGCTTGTGCAGATGGGTCCACGGGTCATCAAATTATAAAAGGGTGAATTGTAAAAGGATAGTGAACACAAATGTGAGACATACTAAAAATGGGACAAAAAAGTGAACACTTATAAGCATGTTTGGGAGACTTATTTCTCTTCATTTCCATCAAAAAGCAACTTATGAGCTATTTGTTTATTATCAACTGATTCATATAATGCATTCAAACATGTGGTGTTTGGTGGAAAATAGTCTTGGCTGATATGAAAGAAAAAAAATTAACAAATGGGCAATAAATTTGAAGGACACTTGAGCAAGAGTGTAAAGTTAAAACATCAGAAATTTATATCACCAACGGATCTCCTATTGTTTTTCACATGCCTAGAAAATGTAAATTGGAGAATCCTAAGATAAACATGTCAAACTAGTATCATGCAAAGAAAAATATTTGGTTGCTAGAATAAATCTAAATAAAATTGAATTTCTATTTTGATGGTTCTTTATTGGGTTGTATCTCCACTATACCTTTATATTAACGGTTGAAGAAAATCTAAAGATAAGGCATAAAAGTTTTTCCAAAAAATGGATGCTGCTATAAGGAATATCATGGGATGAATGTTTATATTGTTGATTGATCGATCCAGGATAAAATTTGGAATATGCAGTGTGCAAGAAAAATAATAGTTTCCTATAAATGCAACTAACAGGTATAATCTTCTTAAGAAAATGTTATTGCAAAACCTCAGGTATACAAAGCTTATTTGATCGAAGCCGTGAATATACAGTGTGCAAGAAAAATAATATGTTCCTATAAATAAAAGTAACAGATATAATCTTCTTAAGAAAAAGTTATTGCAAAACCTCGGGTATAGAAAGCTAGTGTGATCGAAGCCATGAATATACTCCTGCAAGATCTGTGGGTGGTACTCCAAAATCTGCATCCGTACATAAAAGTACATTGTTCTTAACAAGCAGAATAAAGATATCAGTGTCTACATTTAGAAAAGATCAGATAGCCAGACTATTACCTCCCTGTATATGAGATCTCTAACATCATCTTTAGTCAATTTTCTCCTTTCATAGTCAAATTCAAATTTGGAAATTGGACGAGCAGAGGGCTCTGCTTCCACGTTTGCTAAACCATGAAAATATGGATCTGCTAGTGCCTGAAGAGATCAATAAACCATTGGTATCAATATAAAGATGACTTGTTTTTGCAAATTCATTAGATGTTTCGTGTTTGAACATTTTACCTCCTCAGCAGATGGACGATCTTTGGGATCGAATGCAATCAAGCGCTCAAGTATTCTAAGAGCTTGTTGATCGATATATGGAAACTTTTCTGAGAGAGGAATGGGTGACTTTTTCCTCATGCCACTTAAATATCTTTTCGCTTTTTCATTTCGAATCTGTGAGCATAAAAAAAGTAATATGTTAATACTTTACTCGGGTGGGGCCAAAGACTGAAGATTGGAAAATATATTGGTGAGAGGAGAGTGGGAGCACACCCTTGAAATGCAAGCAGCGGAGGGGGTGCCCAATAAATCAGTGATGATATCTAACTGATGGACCACATTCTTTCCAGGAAACAGTGGTTTTCCAGTAAGCATTTCTGCAAATATACATCCTATGCTCCATATGTCAATTGCTGGTGTGTACTGCAACAAATATTATAACTTAGAAGTGCAGGAATACATTTCCTGAGACCAGTTCCTATGTAGCATGTAAGCAAGATTGCAGGGAGCCAAAAATAAACCCCATTGTATGTTACTATGTTTACCCTCTGAATGATATTAGAACAGTAAAGGAGCGGCATGATGGCTAAGATGAGGCTACTTTCTTGTGATGACCATCAAACTATATATTTGAATACAGAGATGTCGCTCGAAAGTTTTTTTAAGAAAGATTGGTTAATCATGAAGAAGGTCCAATACGTGAAAGGAAGCAACAATAACCAAGTCTGAATTTTAAGTCACCGAGTTGGATACATGAATTGATAGACTGTCTATCAGGCTCTTCCAGCAATATATCAATTTTTCAGTTTTTTTGCCGTGCACTGTTCACGCTTTTGGTCATTCACCAACTATGGCCTCATGAAACCCCTATCCCCCCTGAGTGTCTTTTTCCATCCATGCCATTTTTTGTTCTACCAAGGACCCTGGCTTAAGTCTTCAGAATTCAAAGACTCCACATCTCCACTCTTTGCAATGGGGACATTTACCTCACGCGGGCAATAGTGGTCATACCAAAACATTAACACATTAGGTTTTCTTTAAGGGTAAATTTTAGAGGACAGCAATTAGGCCTGCATTACTGTATGGAACGGGGTGTTGGGCGGTGAAACAATGTCACATTCAAAGATGAGTGTGGCAGAGATGCGCATGCTGCATTGGATGTGTGGGCATACTAGAAAGGACCATGTGAGGAATGAGTTGACTATGACGTTTGCCATAGTCAAAATGAGGTTAAAAAAAAAAGGTTCAAATCAGAAGAAGTCATGTAGTCTTACATTGTTAATAATTTATATAGGGAATTTGAGAGCATTGATCACTCTAAGCATATAATGCCAATCAAGGTTGAAATTAGAAAATGTATGCATGTGAGCATGAACATTTGGTGTAGAAAATATGCTTACTTTTGATAAGAATGAACCGCAGAGTTCAGGAGCTCGGTACCAACGTGTTGCCACATAGTCCTTCAAAAAACCAACAAGCATTAGCATGACCAAAAAAACTACAATTGCAAGAATTTGGAATGCTATTACTCATGAATCACGAACGAACAAACTAAACTCATGAACTACTAAAAGAGAGGGGAGACATTTACAGTCCAGAAAACAGCAGATGGGGTATCACCAAATGAGACTCGAGCAAGCCCAAAATCACACAGTTTCAATTTGCAATCTGCATTAGCAAGAATGTTCTTTGGCTTTAAATCTCGATGGAACACATTTGCTGCAAAAAGGTAAGATGTTAGAAAATTTATCTCCATGTGATGTGTTTAAAACAGACGTCGACTTATAGTTGTTTCTACAGCAGGGAGTAATTGAAACCTGAATGCATATACTTTAGACCCCGAAGAAGCTGATACAAAAAAAACTGATAATGCTCAGGTGTCAGGTTGTCATTTGTCTTAATTACATGGTGAAGGTCACATTCCATCAACTCAAATACAATATAGATATCTTTGAACTCTCTACTGCATGGAGGCAGCATTATATGTTTTATTTCTACAATATCAGGGTGGCGAAGCAAGCGAAGGAGCTTTATTTCTCTCATGATACGAGTGGCTTCAGAAACATGCTCAAAAACATCACTGATCTTCTTAATAGCCACCTTCTCTCCTGTATGAGTGTCAATTGCAGCAGCAACAACCCCGTAACTTCCCTTGCCAACGACCTCTTGGATTTCGTATTGACTTGCCTCGCCATATTCAGTGAAGAATTCTTTGAAAGGCATACTCTGAAATGTAAGAAGATTAATACAACAATGTCTGAGACTCCGGCGTAGGTTTTACACTTAAATGAGGACAAGTTTCGAGTGCAATATATATGTATATAACGAATAAATAAATAAATTGACTAATAAACAGAATGGCAGAATGACCAGAAGTAAAATGATCCCCCATGCTCTAGTTTTGAGCATATCAAGGATGGGTTAGATCCTAACTTCTAATGCTAGTACATGATTAATGAGCCTTAAATACATGAACGGGGGGGACAGGCATTCAGACCTTGGACATCAAAATAGTGCAAAATATTGTTGAGTCTTATATATGAAGTATGGAAAGTAAATACTAAGCAGCGAATTCCCTTAGTATGCTGTAGAGTAATCAACTCATGCAGCTAAAATATATACCTTCCACCACTTCATGCTATGCACTTCAATATTTGGAAGTTTATTTAGTTAACGTATATGGGCTTGGATACGGAATGTTATGCATGGAAGTAATACGAACAAGGATCTCCTAACATTTTACAATCATCATTCAACACTCCCCTCAAGCTGAAGCATCAAAAGGTTTCAACTTTCAAGCGTTGAAGGTTGGAAAATGAGAGAATCAACTGAGAAATGTCACTGAAAGTCTGGAACAGTACAAGCAAACGTCAAATTCTATTTGTCAAAATCCTTGTTAGTTGTCGATGTCTTTCTACTGTCGCCAGTCTTACAATGCCACGTCTCGATATCTCAGGACGGTCTTGCAGTGCCTGTCTAGTACTGGTCTACTTTTTTGGGTCGCTGATGTTTTTCTCAGTCATTGGTATCTTTTGTCAGTTAACGGTTTTACAATGTCATGTGACATGTCTCAAACAACAACAACATCCAAGCTTTAATCCAAAAAGATTTTGGAGTCGACTAACATGAATCGATCCATGATAATGATGCCAAAAAGAGAAGGCAGACAAGAAGAATAAAAAGAAAAAGTAGAAATATAATAAAGAAACCCCTTCTCCGGGACAACACGGAGGGGCTAATATGATAACAGATCAAGATAATCTCTTTCAAGCTATCATTTATTGGCATACAACTACAACCATGCAGGCTAGCATTCATTGTCAAGACAACTACAAAGATGCAGGCTACCTTAAATTTATTTAATACGACTAAAACATAACGCATTTTCTCAAACAGGACCACCATTCTCCCCTAATTAGATCTACTCGCATTCTTTTACTAGAGCTAAATAGCTAATTAAGTCCTATTTTGAAATAAATGCAAGACTACTGCTATATGCATTTCACAATTGTTTAACTCCTAATCATTTCTTTTGTTTTTTCTGAAAACAGGATTTATTGACTCGTATAAGAAGAATCATTAACTACTTTTAGTCTTTCTTTAGGACTGAATAAGTCCTACAGTCCTATTTTTAGCACAAATCAGGGATAGTCCTATACTCCTATTTGAGAAAATAACCCGTGTTCTACTACTACTTACTACAATTTCTTAAATATTAAAAAAAGCTTCCATTTTTATGTACTGAATTTAATTAGACAACGCCTGTATAATGTACTCCCAACCCTACAAGTCTACGAGCATGTTAAAACTTAAAAGATAAAGAAAGATGGAAAATGAACTTAAAAACGCCAACTTTCTTATACTGTTGGTACTTGGTATATGGCCATGGCAAATGGGCTTAGTAATTCCAAACATCAAATTCAATGCAATAACTTATAATAATAACTCATAAGAGAGACGGCATAGACGACAAATAAGCCTCAATGAACCATGAGTCCATGATAAAATCTTGAAATCATATTATTCACTTTTATGTACATGGTTTGCATCATCTATGCCAAAATTAGCTCGGTTTCCTCAAGATGCCAACTCAATGTCACAAAGCATAAACTCCAATAAGACCAACCTTCCAAATGTCATACTACATTAAAGACAAGAACCTAAGGAACCAATTAGGCACCACTGATGAAAGAAAATTTTACCTGTGCTTGCTCACACAACCAGTTCCCCAGCACAAACACCTTAGCCCTTAGCTGCTCAATTCGACGCCAGGAGGTTTCATATATCAATTGAAGAGCCTATGACCTTGTAATAATAGAGAAATACCACAGACATCAAAACCACTTCAACTTGCAAGTTGCAACCTATATCTACGCATTCATAGCTATCTTTTCAAAGGCAGACTTGTATCTCAATAGATGAATTGAATATGTCGTCCTGGGCCAACCCCATTTAATTTAATTAAATTTTTATATATTAAAAAACAAAGTTGGTGGTATGGCCGTATGGAGAAAAACGAAAGAACGAATCAGCCAATCGATCTTTCCGATCTAACTAGGAGACAAAAAATGGCAACCCACTTCCTCAAATTTGCGGACCTTATCTAATTACCAATCCCCCTCTTAAGCTGTCATATCAGTTCTTCATCATCGAAACCCAACTACCGTCAGAGTTCAATGTATATACATCGTCTGTGCGCGCGTGCGCTCAAATATAAGTATATATACTCTCTGTCGAAAAGAGTCAGGCTCTGTTTGCAACCACTTGTGCTTAAATAAAAGCACTTTTTGGGAAAAAGTGATTAGGAGTAAAAGTTGGTAGTGTTTGGTAAAATAAGTGCTTTTTGTGTAATAGAAAAGGTAAAAAGTAGATTCTACACGAAAACCGAGAAAGTAAAAGTTGATAGTGTTTGGGAAAATAAGTGCTTTTTTCTTATAAAAAAGCCAAAATCACTTTTTTTAATTGATTGCAAACAAACCCTCAAATAGGGTTGAACTTACAAAAAATATCAAATAAGATAATATTTAAGCTAATAGTACCCAAATTGACTACTTTGTACCTTTTAGTATAGAGGACTTGAAGAATTAGCTACATTGATTGTAAAGTTATCCCAGGTGAGAGTGTTGTCACTCAACATAGGATGAATGTGCTTGATTTTCAAGGTAAAAAGAGAAGGAGGACTAAGGTACAAGTGGAGCCAAAGATAAAGTGGTGGAGGTTAGAGGAGAATCTCCAACAAATTTTTACACAGAAAATGTTGGAGGAAAATGTATGGTTCATTGATAATGACGCACATGAGGATGATGTAAAAAAAAGGATGATGTGTGGTTATCAATGGAGTCTATCTTTAACAAAGTGGCGAAAGAGATACTTGGAGAATATAAAGGATGTCTACCACCAAAAAAGGACACATCTTGGTGGAATGATGAGGTGAATCAAGCAACAAGGATCAAAAGGGAATGCTATAAGAAATTGGGAAAAAGTTGAATTAATTTGAATTCGTTCCCGATCGAATTTTTAGCTGAGATTTGGTATGAGTAAACTAGACATGATGAATAAGATGCTCAAAAACATTTATCAAAAATTCCACCGGGAACCACCCGAAATCGCGACGGCCGGACAAAATCTCCCATAGAAGGACTTAATTGACCTTTTTATGAAAGTTCGAGGACCTATTTGACAGTTTTCCCTTTTTCTTTTAATATTTGCGGTTGCAGTTCTGGCCTATGTTGTGGACACCTCACAGTTGACCTTTATTAATATTATTAATTTGATAGATTATTATTATTATTATTATTATTATTATTATTATTATTATTATTATTATTATTATTTGTTCATACTGAGATTTGGTCAAACAATCCTTGAAAAATCTAAAATTTGAGTGAACCAAAGATTTTTGTTCTCGGCAAGGGCGGACCGTAGTACAAACCCAGGGGCGGTCGCCCCTCCAACAATAAAAAATTTAGTATATATATATACCAAAAAATAATTTTCGCCATCCCAAAAATTATTTTGTTAGAGTTACCGCCCTCCCATGATAAACTTCTTGGGTCCGCCCCTGGTCCTGGGGCAGCCCATGTTCATGAAAGTTTTTAAGAGGTGCTTGCTTTTATATGGCTTGTACTTTATACGTCTGTATTTTATTGGACGTTTTTGGCTTGACCAGGGCTGTCTCATGAACACATTACGACCTGACTGAGGTTAGAAACAGGAAAAAGCACCCCACCCCACCCCACCCTTAGGGCCAGAACTGGCCGCATAGTTAACCTAAGTGCAACTCAGGCAAGAATGCACATGAATAATAGGCAATTTAGGTGCTGTTCTGTTCGTCTTATTCTTATTACTTATTACTTATTCTTATTTTATTCAGATCAGATCAGATCAGATCAGAAAAATTCAGATCAGATCAGATCAGATCAGAAAAATTCAGATCAGATCAGATCAGATCAGAAAGATTCAGATCAGATCAGATCAGATCAGAAAGATTCAGATCAGATCAGAAAGATTCAGATCAGATCAGAAAGATTCAGATCAGATCAGACCAGATCAGAAACATTCAGATCAGATCAGAAACATTCAGATCAGATCAGAAAAGTTCAAACATGATTTATCACTTTTATTATTGTATTAATTATTATTATTATTATTGTTATTACTATTATGATTATTATTATATAATTATTATTAATAATATTAATAATAATATGATAAAAAAATAAGATATTAATATAGTTATAATATTTTAATATAATAATAGTAATATAAATGCAATTATTAAGAAGACTATTATTATTATTATTACAATATTATAATAATAATAATATGATTAATATTATTATAATATTATATTATAATTATATGTAATTATAATTATACTTACAACTATAATTCTTATAATTATAAGTATATCAATTGTAATTATTATAATTATATCTATAATTAATTATAATTATAATTGTAATTAATTATAAGTATAATAATTATAATTACAATCATAATTATAATTATGATTATAATTTTAATTATAATATAATATTATAATAATATAATACTAATTATAATAATAATATTATTATTATTATGTTATTGTAATAATAATATTAATATAATAATATCGTTATAATAATATTAATTGTATTTATATTACTATTAGTATATTATAATATTATAATTAATGTTAATATAATTATAATTATTATTAATTATAAATATACTTATAATTATATTATAGTTATAATTTATGATTATAATTATTATTTTTATTATAATTATTAATATTATTATTATTGTTACTATTGTAATTATTTTACGGAGTAATTATAATAATATTGATAACTATAGTTACAATTATAGAGATAAATATTGTAATTATAATTACAATTATAATTATATAAGTAATTATAATTAAAAATATAATTACAATTATAATTATATCTATATTTATAATTAGTGTAATATGTATAAATTTTTTCATTTTAAATTTAATTTTAATTATTATTATTTGTATAGTTACGATTATAATTATAATTTTATTTAAGTTATATTTGTAATTGCAATTATAATAATTATAATTATAATTATAATCATAGAAATATTCAAATGAGATCAGATCAGAAAGATTCAGATCAGATCAGAAGGATTCAGATCAGATCAGAAACATTCAGATCAGATCAGACCAGATCAGAAACATTCAGATCAGATCAGGAAGATTCAGATCAGATCAGATCAGGAAGATTCAGATCAGATCAGATCAGATCAGATCAGATCAGAAAGATTCAGATCAGATCAGATCAGATCAGAAAGATTCAGATCAGATCAGATCAGAACTTAAAAAATTCAGATCAGAAATATTCAGATCAGGCGAAGAGAACAGCTTCTTATACGACGGTACAATTGGGTGTGCCATGTGTATGGCACATCTGCTTTGCACATAAACCAACGTCCGTGCATAGACATTTAGTTGTCTGTACACAGACAATTTGTACTCTTTTTTATCCGTAGGGCAAATGCCGGAAGTCATTTGCCGATATTTTATTAAAAGATAAGGTCATACACAAGAGAGGGGACCATACCAAACCTCTCGCAGAGGCATACCTCTGGAAAACAAAAGCAACAAGAAAGAAAAAAATTGTAGGGGGGCTATACCTGACCCAAAATAAAATACTTCAAAAAATATACTACGAAAACAGATAAAATAAAACGAGCTTCGGGGGGACCAAACCATACCCAAGCCCAATACAATAAAAATGAAATTAACTTAGGGGGTGTTTGGAACTGATTCTGCTTCTGCTTCTTTTTTAAAAGCAGAAGCAGAATCAGAATCAGTTTTCAGAAGCTGGTACCCCCCAGCTTCTAAAAAAACTGATTCTGAGAGTAAATTAGAGCTCCAGAAGTGCTTCTGCAATTTTACCCAAACACTCCAGCTTCTGCTTCTGCTCCCTGAAGGAGCAGAATCAGTTTTGAGAATCAGATCCAAACACCCCTTTATCCGAAGATAAGGAATACCGAATAGATCCATACAGTAAACCTGCTTAGAAGCTGTTCCGTTCGTCTTAATCTTATTACTTATTCCTTAATCTTATTTTATTCAGATCAGGTCAGATCAGAAAGATTCAGATCAGATCAGAAACATTCAGATCAGATCAACAACATTCAGATCAGATCAGAAAGATTCAGACCAGATCAGACCAGATCAGAAACATTCAGATCAGATCAGAAACATTCAGATCAGATCAGATCAGATCAAAAAATTCAAACATGATTTATCACTTTTATTAATATATCAATTATGATTATTATATTATAATTATTGTTAATAATATTAATATATTAATATAATAATATTATTAATAATATAATAATAATAATGTTAATAATATAAAATTATTATTATAATATAATATAATATAATATAATATAATATAATATAATATAATATAATATAATATAATATAATATAATATAATATAATATAATATAATATAATATAATATAATATAATATAATATAATATAATATAATATAATATAATATAATATAATATAATATAATATAATATAATATAATATAATATAATATAATATAATATAATATAATATAATATAATATAATATAATATAATATAATATAATATAATATAATATAATATAATATAATATAATATAATATAATATAATATAATATAATATAATATAATATAATAGAATATAATAGAATATAATAGAATAGAATAGAATAGAATAGAATAGAATAGAATAGAATAGAATAGAATAGAATAGAATAGAATAGAATAGAATAGAATAGAATAGAATAGAATATAATATAATATAATATAATATAATATAATATAATATAATATAATATAATATAATATAATATAATATAATATAATATAATATAATATAATATAATATAATATAATATAATATAATATAATATAATATAATATAATATAATATAATATAATATAATATAATATAATATAATATAATATAATATAATATAATATAATATAATATAATATAATATAATATAATATAATATAATATAATATAATATAATATAATATAATATAATATATTTATAATTATAATTATAATTATAATTATGATTTACAATGTAATTATAATTATAATCATCATTATTATTAATATGATTGTTGTTCTTGTTGTTATTGTTGTAATTATTATTACTTCGGAGTAAT